CGCGGACGCTCTTACTCACTTAGTAACAAGTGGGTCCGTAGCGACAAACAAACGAATCGCTGGGCCCGTCAGTTTAATTTAAATTAAAAAAATTTCACTCTGATCCTTTTCTTTATCTCTTTTCTTAACATCATCTCAACGCCATAGGTGAGTGGTGCTTGGTAGGTATACGTACACAAACTAAGGTTATATTTAGATAATTTTGGCTATTACACGGTCCTCTTAACACAGATTAAAATTTATTAAAAACTATAAAATCTAAAAAAATTATTAAATAGGATATGAAATTCACCAAATCTTATATTTTTCAATAATTTTCAACCGATAAAAAAAAATAATTTTAAAAAAATGTGACAGAGAGTGTCTTCTCATTGTTTCTCATTTTAGCTAATATATAAATAATTTTATGAAAGTCCTCCGAGCCAAGAGCACCAAGGAGGTGGAGCCCTTTTATCTGACAATTGACAATGCCAATAATGTATTTTTCTTCCTCAAATGTTTTCGTGTTGTTGAGGGTGTGCACACCTCAACCTTGGAAATATGTTTAATGAGGAGTATATGGTTTTATTTTAGTCATAAATGAACAGAACTTGAAGCTGTTAAAGGGTCCCTGTCAGTAAGCAAATGGGTTGCTTTCAAAGAGGTGGTAGACTGACTACAAGGATCCTTTTCTAAGGCTCATTTTGTTTCCTCTTTTGTGTGGAAAAAGTTTTTAAAGTATACAACCTTAACTGCGGGTCTCTATTCGGTGCCATTAACTGTTCAGTCATGTTTTTTCTTAATTTCCCATAATATCATTTCTAATCTGTTTATCCAATATTTTAATATGCTAAGGAATTAATATTTTCCTTTCCATTTGTGAAAGTGAAAGTAAAGTAAAGGGAAGGTGATGTATACATGACTACAACATATGATTAAGGACCCACTATTAAAATGGACTAAAGTTTTATTTAGTAGAAGCCTTTGGAGAGTGTAATGATAATCATAACATTCCTTCAGTAAAAGCAGCACACAGAGACTCTGGTAGATGTACCAGCCTTTGCTTTGACTTTCTCATTTCGAGTTCTCCTATAATCTTACACTGCTTTTGCTAAAACAACTTCAAACTTCTAGCTTTTGTCGGTACTTTCAGACGAAACTACTCATAGTGAATAGGTTAAATAGGATGTGATATTTTGGTAGTTGTCAACTTCATTCCATTTGTAAGAGTTAAAATACCATTTTGGAAGCTAATTCTCAATCCATCCGCAAAGGAAGCTCAAGCAGTTCAGTTTCACTGTCTATATTTATTAAATGATGTAACAAACCATCGGTGCATTTGCATGTATGAATCCTCCTTCAATTGAAGGTGTTATGTTTAGGCATATATCAGTTGCGGATTGATGTTCAATTATGGATCCATTATGCTGCTTCTCTACTCGGGTCACCTATCTTTGATTTTTCATCACTTGGGGTGGATAGGACAACCTTAGCTCAGGTGTTTGTCGGCTAGACGTTCATATTTTGCTCATTTTACCTCATTTTTTATCTAACAGATGATGTTTTCACTTTTCATGTAACAAAAATTTACCACCAGTTTTCGAAAAATGAACTATTGATATTGCAATTTATGTACAATTATGAATGAATTATTAATGATTTTGAAACAAAACATATAAGGAAACCAATATTCAAATAACCATCAGGGAATAATTTTCTTGATTCGCCTGGTTACCAAAAATCTCAGGTCGCCCTGCTTATTTACTTACACTGTCTACAAAATTGAGGTCAGACAATGGGATTTCCTATCTCCTTATTCAGAATGAAGTGATTTTCATTCATTTTTTTTGCTGCAGCATCTGGATAAATGGAACTCAAAGGTGCTGTTTTTCTTTATTGGTTGCTTGCATCTTGTCTGTGTTGTAGCTAGTTTATCTTTGATCCACAGATGATGATCAGACCCAGGAGAATTTGAGGATAAAGTTTGACCCCTTTAACGGGATCACTAATTTATGCCACTTCATATACATACATATACATATATATATATATATATATGTGTGTGTGTGTGTGTGTGTTGTGTTAAGTTTGTCCAGTTGCAGTTGCGATCTTACAATGGAAAAGTATATTCTAGTACAAAAACTCAAGATCATGATAAGTCCTACTGGTTGTTTCAGAGTCATGTTGAAGGACTCGTATATATTTTTGAAGTTATATAGATATACTTTTTGTCCAGTGTGACTGCTCAACCATCTGTCAAATGTTATAGATTGCTTGGTGTGTTTAGTTTTCAGATTGAATCTAATGTAACTCGTGTATATTCGTACTTTGAAAACATTGAAATCATTAATAGGTTGAATCTCTCTCTCTCCATGACAGGATGTAGCCACATGGTGCTTATCATCAGCTCACAAATTTATCTTGAAAAATCACCTTAAAGATGTGCCTTGTTTCATAACACGAGGAAAATGTTTCTTTCCTTTCTTTGTAGTGTATCGGTTGGAAGAAATGAAGCCTGAGCTCAATGTTGCTGTTGCTCTTGTTATTAGCTTGCTCTGTATTCAGCACTCATTTTCTGGTTAGTATCATCATTTATAATACATTTGGTACTTGACTTTCCAGCTGTCACCAATAGCTTTAACACTTTTCCCCTTCAACATAAAGTGATACCAGTTTCGTTTTTTACTCTAGATTCAGCACTCATTTTTCAATTAGTGTCATAAGTGAGCATTCTATATCATGTCATTTTTGTAATTTTAAGTTTATAGAGGTTACGCTTTACATGTTAACTCTCAGTCATAGATTGAATCCAAATGAGACACTATACTTTTTTCTTTTTCTTATTTGCTTCTTGTTTTTACTAACAGATGAACTTTCTGATACTGCCCTAAAGAAGTGGAAATGCAAATGCTCTTCTTTCCAAGGAAACCATATATACTCTCTATCAAATTGTTCCAAGTCATGTGATTGCCATTCAGGTATACTGGAATTTTTTATTGGCACAACAACCTAAGCCTTTTGCAGATAATGCTCTCTCCCATTTTATAGTCTTCTATATTCTTCAGTTGATTATTTAACCTGAGCCTTGCCCTTGTATATGTAATGAATTGTATTTTTGCAGAAGTTTCCTGAAAACTAAGATTCATTTAAATTCACAAAGGTTTCCTTTACTAATAAACTTCAATTTATATTTATTGAAGACAACATTCATGGTAAATTGGTCACTAATTGATACACTTATTAGAAGAATGCGGAATGGGTTCACTATTTTAGTAGAAAGAGGGAGACTGTGATCACATCCTGAATATTATTTGGTAACTGCTTTACCTTCCATGTAGATTCAGAAGAGAGTGCATCCATATGGACATGCAAATGTGATCCGAATGGATTTCCTAAAGTGACAGCAGATGGCCATAACCTTAATTGTTTCAATGCCTGCAGATGTACCTGGGGTATTTTATTTTGCTTCCATCTCTATAGTTCATTGATTGATGATTTCCAAAACTCATTTAGATGGACTAATGCTAAACCAGTTATTATTATGCAAAGAACAAAATGCATATTTCCATATGTAAAAAAAGAATTAGTTTAAATTGTGGAAGTATTGGAATCACATAAATTGTGGACTGTTGTTGGAAAACGCGGTTGATGTAACCGCAATCATGGTATGGAAACTTCCAAAACCACAACATTTTTCAAATTGCTTTATAGCCCTTTTCAATTCGTAACTCTTTACCTTGCAGAAACTCAATGGATTTGTCTCAGACGTCGGTTCTCAATCTAATATATGATTTTGAGTCTCCTGCAGGAACTGACAGGATGCCCCTTGTTTCAAAGAAACTAAGTTCGAGCAAGATTGTGGTAGTTATTCTATCAATGTGTCTTGTAAGCACAACTGTTGCATTTCTTACCTCAGTTGTATGTCATGTCTGCCAGAGACGCAGCTTTCCTATCCAATCATCAATGATATCATCAGATAAAGAAACGAGTTACAATAGTACCTCCAACTTAATTATTCATAGTACTTCTTCAGTGCCAGAAACAAAAGTTGTTATACATTCTCCAATTAGTCATATTAGAGGTAAGTCAGTTTGTGTTCACTACTCTCGGAATATAATTTCTTAGTTAAAGTGTATTTTGTTTCAAACTGTCCAATTTGTTTTTGCCATTATTTTTGGTCCTTAATTACCTTTTTCTTTTTTTAAGGATGCTTTCCGAAGGCCTATTTGTTGTTTGGTAGCCAAAGAGAAACCTTTCAAGGAAATATTATTCAATTTTCGTTTGCTGAACTGGAAAATGCCACTGAAAACTTTTCAGCTTCCAATCTAATTGGATTTGGTGGAAGCAGTTATGTATACCGCGGTAGGCTAAAAGATGGTAGTAATGTGGCAGTCAAGAGACTAAAAGATCAAAGAGGGCCTGAGGCAGACTCTGAATTTTTCACAGAGGTTTGTACCCAGTCTTACTTCAGTTTACTTTGTTTGGTCATGCTATATTATAATGTTCCATAGTGTCTAGATAAAGAAGGATGAGCCTAAAACAATAGTTTTGTTTGTTCAGATTGAACTATTGTCTAGGCTTCATCATTGTCATCTGGTGCCATTGGTGGGATACTGCTCAGAATTAAAAGGAAAAAATGTTCAAAGGTTGCTAGTGTTTGAATACATGACTAATGGAAATTTAAGGGACCGCTTAGATGGAATTTTTGGAAAAAAAATGGATTGGTCTACTCGTGTTACGATTGCATTAGGAGCTGCAAGGGGCTTGGAATATCTTCATGAGGCAGCTGCTCCAAGAATTCTGCACAGAGATGTCAAATCAACCAACATTCTTCTGGATAAAAATTTCCAAGCAAAAGTAAAGAGTCTCTTTCGGTTGTTCTAAATGTTTTTAACTCCTAGCAAATGGGTAATTATTTAAAACAATACAACTTAAGAGGGTAATAAGATAGTGAAAGCAAGTTCTAATTTTAGTGGTTTTTAATGTCTTTTGTAAATCCGTTGAAGAAATATAGAGTTAATAACTAAATTGTAGGTGGAGGTTGCCACTTAAATGATGTGTGCTTTTACAGTCCGTTCAAATAATCAAATATGCAGATAACTGATCTTGGTATGGCTAAAAACTTGAGAGCTGATGATCACCCTAGTTGTTCAAATTCTCCAGCAAGAATGCAGGGAACATTTGGCTATTTTGCACCTGAGTATGCAATTGGAAGAGCCTCTCTTGAGTCAGATGTCTTCAGTTTTGGAGTGGTTCTTCTTGAGCTTATCAGTGGTCGGCAACCTATCCATAAATCTGCAGGGAAAGAAGAAAGTCTTGTTATATGGGTATTGTAAATTGTTGATTCAGTATTGCATTAACCTAAACTTGCATTTATCCTGGATTTTCCATGTCCTCAATTTAATACTTAGCAATTGGGTTATTTTATGATATTTGTCTGAAAGGATATTTTATGAATATTATTTTTTATAAGGTTATTACACAAACACTCCACAATGATAAGATATTGTCCGCTTTGGGCCTTAGCCCTCACGGTTTTGCTTTTGGTCATCACCCAAAAGGCCTCTCAATCATTGAAGTATGTTTATGCTATATAAGTTGTTATTTCTTGTTTTATTTTATTGATGTGGGACGCTTTGGGCCTTAGCCCTCACGGTTTTGCTTTTGGTCATCACCCAAAAGGCCTCTCAATCATTGAAGTATGTTTATGCTATATAAGTTGTTATTTCTTGTTTTATTTTATGAGAGTTATTTTTATAAGGTTATTACACAAACATACTTCACAATGATGAGATATTGTCTACTTTGGGCCTAAGCCCTCCTCACGGTTTTATTTTTGGTCATCACCCAAAAGGTCTTTTTAGCATTGAAGTATGTTTGTGCTATATAAGTTGTTATTTCTTATCTTATTTTATCGATGTAGGACTTGTTTTTATCCTAACACTTAGACTATGACCAAATTTTTCATGAGAAGAGATCTTTGTATAAATTGCCCTGATATACTATCATGTAGTTTTGTTAATCATCATGTCTTTTATAGTGTTTCTTATTTTCCATTTACAATCTTGAATTTGGATGATTGAGCTTCAGTTTGAACATATTGAAAAGCTTTCTTAATGAATACTACTAAGAAGGAAATTATGAACCTTAAAATATTGACATAGCTTGCCAAATTTCTGTTTTAGGCAACTCCTCGCTTACAAGATAGTAGGCGAGTAATAATGGAGTTGGTTGATCCGCAATTGAAAGGAAACTTCCCCCAAGAAGAGGTGCATATAATGGCATACTTAGCAAAGGAGTGCTTGTTGTTGGATCCAGACACTAGACCAACAATGAGTGAAGTTGTTCAAATTATTTCAAGTATTTCCCCGGGCAAATCTAGAAGGAGAAGAAGCATTCCAGTGAGCCTTTTTCAGGTGCACACTGTCCTCAGTTCTTAACCAGTGTTCTAGTTTGGACATGTCTCTTATTTTTCTAAATTTTTGTTTGTTCTCACATTGTATGATAAACAAACCATATCTTTGACCTTTTTCTTGTTAAACATGTAAAGGAACTGGAGGATGCAGAGAAGCAAAGACAAGATCAATCAAGTAGATTTCTATCTCATAATTTATTGCCACTAAGCAATGACTATAATATTCATTTTGTGAACGAAAATAAAGATGAACATACAGCTTCAACTGAGCATATGGAGAGTTCGATCCTCTTATCTTCAAAAGGTGAGAGCTGGCATGCATCAGAAGAGGAAATGGTAGATTTAACTGAGCCTCGTTTTGAATCATTTTTCCTGACAAACGTCAAATTCCCTTGATGAGCAGAAAAGGTCTGAGGAATTTATATTGTGTATCGTGCAATGGGATATCATAGAGGATGCAATCTAGTATTGAGAGTGTGCTCGTCCAAATATTTTTCAGTTTCCTTTGAAAGGCCTTGTACATAGGTGGTGTTTTAGATGTCACAGAAATAAATCTTTGTAAAAAGCATAGGTGATTCTGCTTCTACTTTATTTGAAGAATAATTTGAATGTGATATTTGTAGTTTTGTACAGTCAAAAGTAAACTTGCAATGGTATTTAGCAATAACACAAGCATCTCCTCACTATAACAGCATCATAAATTAAATGGTTTAATACTGATACACTGATAGTGTAAAATAGTTTTATACAGTGATTCAATAGTGTAAAAATTCAATAAGTCCGAGCCACTTATGTATTGTATGGTCCCATCATAAATTTTCTTTATTGGTGTGTCTATCTGTTTATTGATAACATGCAGTTTGTGTTGACCAATCAGTGGGGATTGATATCATGTGTTAACACATGGACACATTTGTACATTCTCTGTCCTGCGTGAAATAAATTTGATTGGTTGCTCGTGAATAACTTTTGAGGAGTAATTATTGCGAGTTGTTTAAGAAAGTTTATATGTTAGTAGGTGGTGGCTTTTGGAATTTGAATCAGGCTTTGAATGGTAGATGAGAGTATGACTTGTGGAATGGATGGTTTGGACTAGTACATAAGAAACCTATGACTATGTGACATTGTGAACTTATTCGTTGAACCGTAGAAGCAACCCTTGAATACGTAGGTGATGGATCCACCTCCTCCTCCAACCACACCGTTGCTAAGGCCAGCTCCTCCTAGAAGAGGATTCTTGGATACATGGTAAGGAACTTTTGAATTTTACTTTGCTCTAGTGAAATTGGGATGAAAAATGAAAAGTGAAATTGACCCTTTTGGTTTTATATCTTGATTCTTGCAGCTTATGGTTTCTTTGCTGCTGTGGCCTATTCAGTTGCTGCTTTCCTCCCCTTTTCGAGACAGGGCCTCCTCCACTTTAGACTCTACCCAAAAATTAGATACTTCATCATCACATGCTCTTTGATTAACTTATATCAAGTGTTACTAATTTTTTTCGTAAACGGGAAAGTTTAAATATATATTATCTAGAGATCGATTAAGATTATGAACACTTGGTAGTTGACTATGTAATAATTTCTCAAACTCTATGTCGATTTGTTCTGTAAAACCATTTTTAATTTAAAATTTAGGGTTTTCTTTTGGGGTGAAAACTAATTTACCTTTTTAAGCAACAATGTGGTTATTTGGTTGGTTGTAGCTGTTGTAAACTCAAATTTTGTGGCTTTCGTTTCCTTATGGTTTGTATTTGAGTTGGGATGTGAATTTGAATGTCCTGCGTCAGTGTCGAAATTCTAAACATAGTTTTGTCACGTTAAAAAAACTGGTCACGTGTCATTTTAAGTCCTTACAAGTGTCTTTTTATTTAGTTATTTTTTTCTTAAGTATTAAACACGCGTTACTAACATAAAATATAAATGCGTTATTAACATAAAAAAAATGCGTTACTTGGATAAAATTAAATTATTTGTAGAATTATTAATTATTGATTTATTTTTTTTCGTTATAATACATTTCTCTCTTTACTCCTTTTGTATAGTATCGTTCACTTTTTTTATTGAAAGCGAAATCTTGATATAAATCTCTATCCATTTCATTCACAAAAGTCATCTTTATATGAAGACTATAGCTTTGTTGGGATTTGGAAAGAAAGAAAGAAAATGTTATTTAGATTATTTATTCAGAAATAAAATGAAAGAAAAGAAAGTTAATTTTTTTTAACTTGTGTGATTGAGTAGAAAATAAAAAGAAAGAAAAAATAGGTATATTCAATGACATAAATATCCCTAATAAAAATATAAAAAAAAAAATTGTGTAACTGGTACTTTTATTTTCCAAAAGCACCCTTTTTAAGAAAGAGAATGACGACGAAAACATGATTCATGATATATATACCTCTTTTTTTTAATAAGTACACCTCCTTTATTTTTTTTTTAAATTATAAAATATTATAGTTTTTTTTTAAAAAAAAATTCAAATTTTATATCTTTTTCAATTTGCTACTTTCTTCTTTTTTTTCACATACTTTTTTTTCTCTTTTAGTTTTTACATGCTACTAAAATAGGTAAGGTGAAAGAAAGGTAAGGAGATGCATGTAAAAATTGAAAAAATGAGAGAAAATATGTAAAAAAAATATTAAATTAAATATTGTGGATGTAAAATTAAAAAATACAAAATAAAAAATTAAAAAATTAAAAAAATTAAGAATATTTTAAATTTTAATTATTTTTTTTAAAAAAAGGAGGTGTACTTATAGAAAAAAAGAGGTGTATATATTATAAACCCGAAAACATCTGCTAACTCCCAAATATTTTGGACTGGGCATACTTTTTTGAAGTTCGGGCCTGCTAAAGCCCATATGTGAACAAATATCCGAATTTTCTCATGGCTAATATTTACACCCCTATCTACTAAGTACACCCTTTCCTTCCCTTCCCCTTTTTTCTTTAATTTTTTAATTTTCATCACTAAATATACTCATATAAATTCTATTTTTCATCCAATATATATTATACTATAAATCCAATATTTAGATTCTTTATATCTCTATATATTTTTTTATTTTTAAAACTTTAATTTTAAACTACATCTTAATCCATATTTATTATTTTTGAAATTCTAATTACTAATATTATAATTTAAAAAAAATAATGGATTTTTTTTTCAAGAAATTTATATAATAATGTAAGTTTTTTTCTCTACAAAATATTTTGTGATAAGGTAGGCTCAATGTACTGAAGAAAAATATTTGATTGGTAATACGATAAAGAAAAACATTGTGAAATCATAAATCATATTTTTTTATTATAAGATTATAGCGTACATATTATCAAATGTAAAACACTTTTACAATGTTTGACAAACCTGTTGATCCTCTCATAAAAGTTCTAAGACAAAAATGCAATACTTACTAAGTTACTAAAACTATTGGAACATGATCAACATGTGTACTAATATATATATATATATAAAGATGATTTTGACGTTATTAGAGATATATTTTTGTCACACTTAAATGTCACTGAACTTTTGAGTACTTTCCATAATGTTTTGCTCATTGATAATACTTAAAATTAACAATATCAGTTACCACTACTTAAAATTGTTGGTGCCACTCAACAGAGTTGACATTCTCCAACATTTGCTTATTATGTGGAATTTGAGTGAATTAAAAACTTAGGCAACGCAAAATTTAAGAATTGATTATCAATGATATAAGATATCTCACGTGATTCTAATAGATAAAGACAATGCTTTGATGAAAACAATGCAAATGATATTTCTTAACTCTTATAATTTGTGATTTTGTTTTTATATGATCAAGAATGTGGAAGCTGAATGGAATTTGATAATTTGTCTAAAGGATAACTGTGACTTAATTATAAATACATGGACTGATATTATGAATTCTTTTAATGAGGATGAGTATATGAAATACTGATCATTATTTGATAAGGTGTAATCAAGTTTTTGAAAGAATAAGAGGGAAAAGAAAAAAAGGATAACTGGAAATAAACATTTCCAAATGATGGAAGAAAAATAGGTCACCGAAGAAGAACGTTAATGGAAACAACTTTTACACATACAAAAGAGAGATTATTCAAAGAAAAAGGAGAAAATAAAAAAATATTTTATAACATAAATTAAAAAAAATTTGTAGGCATAAGGCATTGCCTAATGCTTGCGGTCGGCCCTCTCATTGACATTACTCGTTATTTTCAAAGATGATTTTCCCTTCATATCTACTTGTATTTTAAACATACATATTAATAAATAAATTCATTCGCATTAAAATCGATTAAATATCTCATTGATAGGCTTCACAATATATTAAAAATATAAAAGGAAAATAGTAATCAGTAGAATAGAAAATGAATCTCTGTTTCTTATAACGAAAAAAAAAAACCTGTTTGTTTCTTATATAAAAGATTAGATATAGTGCTTCACAAAATCAGCTTTTATATTTATAAATGTGCACGTACGTTTGTGTGAGGGAAAGGCTCCTCCAACTCCAAAAATGTAATTAATATTGAGACTAAACGAACAACAGGAATGGCACTAATGATGTAGAGTGTCTGGCCTTGATTAATTTAATTTATTCATATATGAACACACTTGCAATTGCCATTGAACACAAGAATAGTGCATAAACAATCTTGCCCTAATCCTTGGGATGGGTCCTCTGGCACTGGCAGCATGGATCCAGTCTGTACTTGAGTTTAACAATGTATGGTAATTGGAAGGTACAACCGATTGCACTTTCATTTAATGCTGTCACAAGCCCTGCTCCTCAATCCTTTCTACCCATCCACACATATTTTAAATTTCTCATTATATATTCAAACTTAAGAATACGGGATAAAGATTAAGTTAATCAAATTGTTAAAATAATTTCTAATTTTGATATAATTTTGATTGATTGTGGGAAACTGAGGTGAGGTGGGTGTGGGAGTGTGTGAATAACAATGAAGGAACACGTGTCCAGATTCCATAGCAGCGTATCTAACGCAGTCAACTCCTCCTCGGATCATTCGCACGTTAAAATATATATATCTTTAATTAATTAACAATTCACCTCTCTCTCTCTCTCTCTCTCTGCAAGCAACTTGTTTGGTTGGAGCCAAACCAACGCCTGCATGGTTATGCCCTACTTACCCGCCGGACTAACCTCTTCTTTTTTATTTGTTCCACTCGGTTGGACTATAATATATATACACATGTAGAAAGTTAAATTAGATAAAACCAAAACAAAATTGAAACGAGATTCACTGACGATGAAAATTATGAATGATTAGATATAAAGTAATCATGCTTATCATATGGCATATTCATTCAATTCTCTTCCTCAAACATCAGTGGGATGCTTGCCAATGTCAAACATCATATCACACCCAACAAAATGCATTCGTTTTTACGGTTGTACTATGTTTGTACCTTGCATAAGTTGTATTTCTCTCTCAAGTACCAAATAATTAATAAATAGTCAAGTCTCTTAATTATATTTTTAATGATATGTACATGAAAAATACTCACAAATTCATGTTACATAAAAAATATATGTCTTTCTTTTAGTGTAAGTATGATATTAGTAAAAAATATTTATAACTTTAACAATAGAGATTAGGTGATAAAAGTTTGTCTAAAGGCAAAGTTGTGGTTATTATCATTCTAATAACATGATTAAAAAAAATTAATTTTCCTGTGCATACAAAATTATTTCCTCTTTTAATTTTCCTTATATTCTGATATTTTCCATCAGAACCAATTATGCATTTTCTTTTATAAATAAATCTTGATTTGACTTGTTCCCAATCAAGGGAAGAGTGACAAGTAGAAGCAAAGGAATATACTACTCTTTATGATTTCTCACTCTGCTCTGCAACTCGTTCTGCATTGCCCGAATGACCCTTTTGTTTTTCAATTGTCAAAGTGGTTTCTAGTTGGTCGGTGGCAAATCAAGATACAGGTTGCATGAGTAGCAGATGTGACAAGTTGCTAAAATGTGTGCCATGTCTTTGCTTTCACCAGAGGCAAATGCTCCGGAATCTCTCTCACTTCACTCCCTTGTTGTTTGTAAGAAACCAAATCTATTGATTTGTCGCCATCTTCATTTTATGCTTTTCATGATTTACACTTTCTTGCTACAACTACTATTGGTGCTTTCAATCTTTTTCTCAACAAACATTGATTAAGAACACAACTTTCAATGTTTAAATTGTTCCCCAGATTCACAATTTTGATTGGGAGGTTGATACTTCCGGGAATTCGGTATGGCTTTTGGTAATTCAAGATCTGCAAGGTTCGTTTCCTTCTAAAAATCTTTCATGTTCTAAGTCATTTAATTAATATCACTACTGCTGCTACTTCTGATTTTAACTTTTGATGCAAGTGTGAATGAGAATGTCACGACTAATAAAATTATGTTAAATACTATATGAGTGACAAAGACTCATAAAAATGATTCCTTAGGATTTTGGCTTCAGATGTAATGTTAAGTTCATTTGTATGATTTTCTTATAACCTGTTGTAGAGATTTTTCCGATGTTTAATCCTCTCGTGTTACCAACAAAACTATAGATATATTACTAAAGTTCAATGCTAGCCTTTTGAGTTTGAGTTCATTGATTAATCGATTTTTTCATTATTTATCATAAGGTTTTAATTCTAAGTTTCATTTCATATTTTAGGTTTGAAGATGATCCGGAACTAGCAAAATTTCCCACGACTAAGGGTGAAAATGGTGCTAAGATTAAATACCACATTGATGGGACACAAATACCTGAACCAAGTTCCAAAGTGTCTCACAAAAAGGTGACAGGGAAGTTCTTGAAAGCTAGAATGTTATCAAGAGTGTTCTCAGAAGACTACGACAGAGTAAAACGAAGAGTATTAGATCCTCGAGGACAAACTCTTCACCGATGGAACAAGATTTTCTTGGTGGCATGTTTAGTGTCTTTATTTGTGGACCCTTTGTTCTTTTATCTGCCAGTTGTTCGAGATGAAGTCTGCATTGATATTGGAATAACTCTTGAAGTTATCCTCACATTGGTAAGATCAGTAGTGGATGTCTTTTACGTGATTCAGATTTTGATGAAGTTTCGTACGGCTTTTGTTGCTCCTTCTTCAAGGGTTTTTGGGAGAGGAGAACTTGTTGTAGGATATTCTAAGATTGCAGTTAGGTACCTTCGCAAGGGTTTCTGGTTAGACTTTGTTGCTGCCCTGCCCCTTCCTCAGGTACCTTTGAAAATTTTCCTCCTTAGTACAAGCAATACAAGTATACAACACACTTTTTCTAATATAATTTCTATTATTGATTAAAGTGTGTCTAAAAGAGTGTGTTAGATAGTAGTACGTTGTTAGCATTTTCTTATAAGCAACAGTATGATGTTTTGATATGCTAAATGTGCCATTCTGTTATGTTGATTCCAGGTGTTAATTTGGATTGTTATTCCAACTCTTAGGGGTTCAACCATGGCCAACACAAAAAATGTCCTTCGCTTTTTCATCATTTTCCAATATTTTCCGAGGCTAGTTTTGATTTTTCCACTTTCATCACAAATTGTAAAAGCTACAGGGGTTGTGACAGAAACAGCTTGGGCAGGGGCTGCTTACAACCTGATGCTTTACATGCTGGCTAGCCATGTAAGTGAATGAAAACTACATTTTCTTTTTATCATGTTTATTAATGAATAATGAAAGTTGTGTCTCACATTAAGAAAAAATGAGTTAATAGAAACCAAACTTTATTTTCTCTACAAGATAATCTATATAATGTGATTCAAGTTTTAGCATATGTCGACATTATAGTATACAACCTAACTATTTGTTTTTTGAATGGGAAACATACGTAAAAGATTTTAGGGGCTTGTTGGTACCTACTAGCAATAGAACGTCAAGAAGCATGTTGGAGAAGTGTGTGTGATTTGGAGAAGTCATTTTGTGAATACAGATTCTTTGACTGCCACAGGGTTAAAGATGCTCTCAGGGTCTCCTGGTTTATAGCAAGTAATATCACAAATTTGTGCTCACCAAATGCAAACGATGACTTCTATCAGTTTGGTATATATGCTGATGCCGTGACTTCAAAAGTTACATCGTCCGGATTCTTTAATAAGTACTTTTTTTGCCTGTGGTGGGGCCTAAGAAATTTGAGGTAAGTGTTATGCAACTGTTCTATCTTGTTAGTACTATCTTTTACACCTGAGTAAAGCATTAACAATTATACCATTACCTTGCTTTCCTTAGACAGTTTAATTTTAATCTTATTTTGTCATCTTGTTGAGCAAATTAAAAGATAGTGTTTTCTACAAACTATAATAAAATGAGGGAACTGTTTTTATCTTCCTTCTTTCCTAACAAGTAGAGAAAATTTTCTCATCTAGAAGCTCTTTTTATCCCTTTGAGAATTAATGCTTTTCTGATTGGAGGGTGCAGTTCTCTGGGGCAAGGCCTTCTTACTAGCACATATGTTGGAGAAATAATGGTTGCCATTGTTGTTGCAACCCTTGGATTGGTTCTTTTCGCGTTGCTAATTGGTAATATGCAGGTAATTAAATTATGCATGTCACTTCCTTTACCTTTATTTCTCCATTAAAATGCATAGTAGGAAATTTCACATTAGAAAAATTAAAGAATGTCGTGCATTTTAAGCTTATATGGATCAAGACTAATTGGCTAGTCTTTTTGTGTCAAGTAGTATGATCCAATATTTTAACTCATACTATTGATCATCCCCAACAAACTTTCAGTCCAAGAATTAAACAACTCCACATTTGCTTGGAGAAAGTGACTTTGCCAATTGAATTTTAAGAAAACGTTTCATCAGTCTAATTTGACAATATTAATAAGGCATATAACTAATAGAAGTCTAATTTTGCAGACATATCTCCAGTCAACCACTGTTAGATTAGAAGAATGGAGGGTGAAAAGAACTGATACTGAACAATGGATGCATCACAGGCAACTACCTCCTGATCTAAGAGAATCAGTGCGTAAATATGACCAATACAAATGGTTGGCTACACGAGGAGTAGATGAAGAAGCTCTTCTCAAAGGACTTCCCATTGATCTTCGGAGAGACATCAAGCGCCACCTCTGTCTCGATCTAGTCCGAGGAGTAAGTCTCACGAGACATCAAACTTTACAACATAGTACACCAATAAGAACACCCACTTCTCAAAATTAAATCTTGCTTCCATATATAATATATAGAATTTAACTTAAATACAACTGATGATAAATTATGATTCATAGTAATATTGTTGTCTTTTATCATAAACTACTTTAAAAGTTATAGTCAAAGTATATTAATATTATAAACTCATGTTTTATGATTTTACGAAATTTACTACCCAATTTTTGAATTTATACATTTGTTATCCAATTTTAAAATTTCATACATTTTGTTTTTTAGTTAATTGTTGGTGTGATACACTAACGGTTGATATAACATATTATATCATATTAACAATGATGTAGCACTAAGTAAATGTATATTATATATAGCAATAATAGTAGTATAATTGAAGTTAGTAAGGGATTAATTATAAACAGGTACCATTATTTGATCAAATGGACGAGAGAATGCTGGATGCAATATGTGAAAGACTAAAGCCTGCATTGTGCACCGAGGGAACCTTTCTTGTGCGCGAGGGTGATCCTGTGAACGAAATGCTCTTCATAATACGAGGCCATCTTGATTCGTACACCACCAACGGAGGGCGTGCTGGATTCTTCAACTCATGCCGTATTGGGCCAGGTGATTTCTGTGGGGAGGAGCTCCTAACATGGGCCTTGGACCCGCGGCCCAGTGTGATACTCCCTTCATCCACTCGAACAGTGAAAGCCATCTCAGAAGTAGAGGCATTCGCACTGATAGCAGAAGACCTGAAATTCGTTGCATCCCAATTCAGAAGACTACACAGCAAACAACTGAGACATAAATTCAGGTTTTACTCACACCAGTGGAGAACCTGGGCTGCATGTTTCATTCAAGCCGCCTGGAGAAGGCATAAGAAACGGAAGGAAGTGGCTGAACTGAGGGCGAGGGCAACTAATAATGCTGACCCCGAAACACCAACCTATGCAAAAAGGGTTGCCATCACTACTAGGAAACCTCTCAATGTCAACATGCATTCTTCCACACATTCTGGAGTTGTCAGCTCTTTGCAGAAGCCAGAAGAACCAGATTTCTCTCTTGATGAATAACATTAATGCTCCACTCTACTGTACATTGTTATCCTAGCTAGTCTCTTCATCAATAATATGTACATTATTTTTGTTCTTCATTTTTCTTCATATAAATTCTCATGGTAGTGCCATGATTAATTCCTTATGTTTTCATCTCTTTTTCTATAAAAAAACTAAATTTAACCACTCACACAAGGTGAAACGATCTTATGAGGCAATGAGGGTGCATTAAAAATGTAATTGCACGATCCTTTCATACTTTATATTTCTAAGAAGAAAAATATTAGTAACACTTTTTTTAACGTTATTATTTTAACTAGTGAGTAGTGAGTAAAACATATTTCGTATCTTTTTTTAAATACATCCAAATTTGTGGAGGTAGTGGGTTATTATTAATTTTTTAAAAAAAAATCATAAAGAAAGACTTTTCTGATCATTATTAATTATTATTTTGCAATTTTTTAAAGGTTAAAATTGTCGGACAATAATATGTAAACCAAAAAAAAAAATCTCTTTATATATAAGTATAATACTTTCTTTGTTATTGATTAGAATTTATTAAAAATTATAAATTTTAGTGAGTCTTATAAAAAAAATTCATTAAAATAACCAATTATAAAGAAAGTGTTAAAAGGATAGTGTACAATGTAAAAAAAAAAAAAAAGAAGATAGTGTCACAAAGAATATGGTGACATTTTTTTTTATATATAGAATTGATGATTTACTCAAAATTGATATATTTTGGGTAACTTTTGGAACCATAATTTTTTTCACTATTCCTTGGGCTATAATATCGAACTATAGTTTTCGATCGGTTTAGCTTATGATCTTGCTTAGTTTATGATTGCTTTATATAATATTGGTGCTTTCAATATAAATGTTCCCAGGAAATAGGGATGATTTATGAAAGTAGCTAGGAAGCAAAGATATTTGATTGGATCCGGTATTTTGATGTTTGTGTAGCTTTCGTACCACAAAATGGATTCATGGTGTATTCCACCCATAACACCTGACACTCTACATGAACATATGCATAGTTTGGTGGTAAAACAATGAATACCAATGTGTCCACCAAAACACTCATCATATGCTTCCCAAAAAGGTATAGCGCCACGTGAAATTCATTTGTGAATTTTCTTCATAAGATAAGAAGGAAGAGCG